GGAAGGCCTATGTCGGAAGGCAACCCGACCAATAGGCGGCTGTAACTAGTGTGCCATAAAAAAATATAATTAACGCTATTATTGTTAGTTTAGGCTCAGCATAGTGTCTAAAAATAATCAATTCAAAAGACTCAGTAAATGTGTCTGGTTTATTGTTGTTACACGCTCGTGAATAAATTGCGTTTTAACCTACTATAAAATAGTTTAAATAAATAACATCATTAAATCTTCTAGCCGCATAAATTCCAGTGATCTACTTAGATCCAAAACTATTCTGTGTGCTTATGTCATCGATACATTAGACTGAGCTACAGCCTACAAATGTAAAATTAATGATAAATAGTTGGAGGCCAGAGCAAATGTTTAGCTAACGGAGAACATCTAGTTTAATTATTTGGAGATAACATTAGATTTTCATGTTTTTGTTTGCACACGTTCTTTATATATTTGATTTAATTTAACATTATTTAGTTCCGGTTCCATTTTTAATGTAAATAAACTACAGCAATCATATATGTAGATAGAATTTAGAGATGACAATTAATTTGTTTACATAAACCAAATAAGTAGAATTAACTATGTTTTGTTTCCACAAAGTAAAATAGAAATACTTGTAATAATTGCGGGAAGTGGTGGAAAATGAATGGTTCGCTGGAAAACCAACACTATATATGATGAAGCCATAGTCAAGAATCTCAAGAAAATTTCAGTGCTACATATTGAATGCACCCGAGCTTTCGTCAGAGCTGACCATAAAAGAATGACTCGAACAGGTCAATGCCAATCCTTTATTGGTGTGTTCGGCCTGTATCGTCATCGGAAACCTTTTAAGGTATGTCTGAGAAGCGTCAGATTGAAATCCCCCCCCACGCGTAAAAACGAATGGACCGCCGCAGGGTAACGCTCTTGGACCAATTTTATTAAACCACGTTTCGAGCTCCAATAGCCGGATTTTATTGTTGTATTAAAAGTACATTAACGCCTATCGTTGTGAAATGATTCATGCCAAATTTATGCAAACATGAATATGCCGTGTTTTCGTTATAAATGTTTTTGAATTATAATGATTGAAAACAGCACGTCACTGACCTAACTTCTTGAATATTAAATCGATAGGATGTGGATGACCAACACTCGACAAACCAATTTTTTTATTAACCTAAAGATTAAAACCTGTTTTGTAAATTTATAGTCAATATTTCTTTAAAAGTTTCAAAACAATTATGGCATTGAAACTTAGCAAAGCATTATTATTTTATACCATAGTCACGAAGCTTAAGATAATAGGCCCGCGTGGAAAGCAAAACAAATCACAGTCGCACTCTCAACCTAGCGTAATTTGATTTCTTTAATCTTTCTCTGCTATTATAGAAGTACCTACTTAACACACATTTCTCAACTACCGGTATCAGTCTGCCTGGAGCTATTGCTAAACGTATTTACTAAGATGTTGTAAATTGTGAGTTCCAATATTATGTAACATTCGTGCTGGACACTTATCGAGTGCTTTTTGGTAGTAAATAACTTTTACTACCGCTTACAACTTGCCTGGCGAAGACAATGACAACATTTAGGTGATCTGTGTTAGTAATAATCCTATATGACCGTTATAACTGTTCTTTACTGTTTTCCTTTTACTTTAAATAGACTTATAGTAATTTATAGGCCTATTAGATTATTTCACTATCGCTGTCGCATTTGTTATAATTATATATTTCTGGGGTTTGAACTATTTCTGGCGTATGCTTAAATAAATATATTCAATTAAAATCTTAAATTAAGGTAATTTTAGAGTAGGCTTACTTCTGTATATGTATTTTGTTTTCTGGTGAATAAACAACTGATTTAAGGAAGTATAGGTGAAAGATACACTATATTTTCGATTTTTGATATGGTAATTCAAATGTATTTTACCGAAAACCTACTGTTTTTCAAGACTGCAAGTAAAAATGAATAAATAAATGCAGTTATTTTTAGCAGGAAGCGAAAGAAAGCCATGCGTAGAGATATTTGCAAACACCTGGAGGAGGCCTTTACCCGTGAATGGGAATGGGTTCCGATGATATGTATATAACAAATCTGAACTGTTATTAACTGTTAACATATGTAATGATTCGAAATAAACGTGCTTTATTATTATGTTTATTTATTTATATTAACTTAATAACGCGGGTAATCGCATGGCAAAGCTAGTGAACGCGAAAGCGCCATGTTTAAAAAACATACCATATTTGGGTATAACCTCATCTAATTCAATCTCAACGAAATAAACATTCGCAACTCAGATCCGGTTTTGCACAGCCTTTTAGGGGTCTCATGTCACATTGACTAACATAAGTAACTTTTATATATTATACATACAAAATAACTTGATTTATATAATAAAAAGTGGGCCTACTTAAAACTAAAACACATACATCATAATAAAACATCTTAATTTATATCTTACATATAGTTTTAAATTATGCCCAAAATATTTCCAGATATTCTTTGCCTCAGATCACATAGGTATAACAAAACCAAAATTCTCAGAAATTATTTTTTCCAAACACACGCTTAACTCTTTCCCTTCATCCGCTACTGTCGAGATTTTGCATTGCAACACGTCTGCCGTTAAACCGTGAAAAAATCTCATTTGGCAATGGCAGGCGCAGGCTACAACATTCACTCAAGAGAAATTTTTATTACTCATTTTACTTTATAACCCCATGAAACTACAAACAAGGTCGTTGCCAAGACGTAGGAAGTAAACGCTAAAGAAAAATCGTACTATAAAATTGGTATCAAAAAATTCGATGAATCGCTCTCGATATTGTATTTGAATAATCAAACCAAATTCTATAAAAAAATATGGATGGCAGGTTTTAGACCCAAAAAATAGTTGTATATGTCGCAGTCTGCTTTGAAATTTACTTAATATTAATTTTGATAGTTACTCCAAGAATAATCAACAGACGTATTATCAAACAGTGCTAATTTATGGTTCTGAAACCTGGGCTCTTAGCAAGAAGGACGAGCTTACTTTTCTTACTTTTGAGCAGAAGATTTTACGAAGCACGAACTAGATTCCGATGGCAAAATTGGAAAGGCCCGGCTGTTCTTGAGGCGCAAGGGCCTTTGATGATGATGATGATTCATAACAACTAGATTAGTTTAATTGCATTCTCTTAACTGAAGTACTGTTTCGACTCTTTCTGTCAGTTGTATTTTCGCTGTGCTTGAAAGTGACAGTTGAGACCCTAGTTAAAACGGTGTAGTTATACTGAATTGTTTCTTTTAATTTATATCTAAATATCTTTTAATTTATATCTAAATATCTTTTAATTTATATCTAAATATCTTTTAATTTATATATATTTGTACATTATCGAATAATCTAAAAGACAAGGTACATATTTGCTTGAAGCTTCAATTTTGCTAACGTCTTTGTCAATATGTAATTATTGGTAAAAACTTTGAAAGTAGTTATGTATCATCATATAATATTTTTGTAAATCGTATTTCACCTACACGCCTTCATATTGTAATACGGTTTTTTTAAACTAGTACCGAGGGAGTACTTTCTCTTTAGTACAATTTGTAATTTAATTAAAACTATATATAGTATTTACAATGTATTTGTATTGAAACGATAAAAATTCTCTAATTTTTACTTAGCAGCTTTGTTAGAATACTCCTTTTTCCTTTTAAACTTTTAATTATTTTTTTATCAGAATTGCGGAATATTATCATTAAATAAATTAAGGACTAATAATGATTTAATGACAAACAGGATTTAACAAACTAGAAATTGAATGATCGTGTCATAAATAAAGGTATGGATAGAGTGAAACAAATTGATGTTATTGCGTGACGACCTTGACTTGTTAAGTATCTTTGTATTTCTCCTTTATAACTACGTAAGTGAAAACAGAAAATATTATAACTTAATTAGTACTAGGTCAATTTCTGTAATATTATGAAATAATTCTTAATTATAACGCAATATAAATTTTTGAATATGATTCAATACACCAATAACCAGTAACAGGACTTCCTCCAATTTTGCAATCGATGTTTTTGCCTGCTGATCGTGATTAATCTGACCCCGATAATTTCCCACGGTAGCCTCGTATATTGTAATTCTTCAATGAGATCGATTTGTATATAGAGTAGTCATAACAGTACCCTCTGCCTGAATAATACGTGAGATTGAATATATTATATAATAGTAACAATTAATTTTTGCATGTATAGCTCAAACCAGAGTTTTTAAACTAAACGGAAGTACGAACTTTGCACAGGCCCTTGAGCGTTGGAGCTGTCAAATCAAGTTGTCAAGTTTATCTTATACATATAAATCTTTTTATGATGTATTTAATCATAATGTTTGTAAGCATTTGTGTTGGTATTTTGTCATATTGTATTTTCAGAATGTCCAAAGATCTTCATTCTTCTTCAACAACGTTAATTATCTTGCATCTTTTTTTAAAATCTTAAGAGCTAGACTACCTACGTAAATAACTTGAAGAAGTTTTCAAGGGCACAAAGAGACAGTAAGAGACATGCAAAAACGATCTACAGTTGAGGGTAGACTTGGTTTAACTTGTAAGTAGTCAATGAACAGTGATAGTTTAGTCCTTTTAGTAGAGACGGGGTCTTGTCAGAAAAACGTGATTTTCCTACAGTTAACATTATGTAAATCTTTATATTTGATGCCTTTATACTTTAAAACTACTTTGCACTGAGAAATCGGTAAAAGTATTTTTGACGCAACTATTTTAGTTTTAGTAGTAAAAGTTGTTTTAAAGAAAAGCAACTATTTCTCCATTTGGGGTTTGGGAATTAGGGGTTAAGGCAGAATATTTCATGTATATTTTAAATGGTTTAAGCGCTCTTTATTATCAGATTAAATAGCTTAACCTAATCGAGGATTAATACAGATAACATGTCATTAACATCTTTCTGACAAGAGCATATTAGTCTGGTGATTTAGTCAGTCCCAACATCTCAACACTCACCAAATCTCTTAACGTGAACGTCTCTGTTAAAGGACACTGTTCGTTTGTTAGGCTCCTTCGTTTCGGTATTACCGGTTTTTGGATCGGAATTACCGGCTTTCGTTTCGGTTTCGGTAGCTATCTCATCGCCTTGCTGGGCGTCTGCCTTATGACTAATTTCATTGGACATTGAGTACAGAGGTACCTAGTTTATGGTACCTCGTTGTCTATTGTGCTCGTTGCATCAGTTTGTTATCTGTGAAAATAACTATAGGATATCTTCTGTTTGTAATTATAGCCTAGGACCTGGCTAATAATTTTATGAACCAACCAGCAACATACCGTTCAGTCAAATAATAAACACTGCCCTGATTAAATCTTTAAATTGTTTAGCTTCTCATTGACAGGAAATTAAGCATTATAATTAATAAAATAAATTTCTGACAGTAATAATCTATACACAAAGATCATATCATTATTAACATAATATGAGATATTCTTCGAATAGAGTTTGTTTTCTTCATAAAACATGGTTTCAGTACAATTAAATGATTAGCCAGCTCGTAGCTTATATTTTTAATTACCCTTACCTTACAGTATTGTGTAATATCGACATGACGCAGGCCGGCTTCGTCATTGCCTATGAAGGTTGCATTTTGACCTGTAACAATAAAGTTATTGTTATTATAAATTTTATACATTCCTGCAATATTTAGGTAATTGTTAATTACATTAGATGTATATTTTCCACTTTGCATAACAATGAAGATACTGTTTATTTTAATATTATTTTTATTTAGATAAACACTAGCAGCTTATTAACTTGATGCGCGCGTATTTGCGGATTTGGTGAAATTATCCAACCTCTTTATAAAAGAGTTCATAGAGGGAGCACTAATTACACTTTCCGGAAGCCTATTCAGCCACTACTCGACTTGGGAGAAAGTTCTTTGGGGTGTTTGTATTATATTGACGTGTCATCAGTTTTAAAGAAATACCCCTCAACAGTGTATTCTCACTTAAAATAAGGAGTATCTCAATTTCTGGAATACTATAGTGGGTAGAGTTAACTCCAGTAAGAATTTTATAGGTTTCAATGAGGTTACCTCTTAATCAAGTGCTTTCAGAGAAAGAATAAAAAATTACGCTAAATATACAATGTATAAAAATGTATAAAATTCTCGTGTCGCGGTGTTTGTAGTTAAACTACTCCGAAACGGCTTGACCGATTTTCATGAAAGTTTGTGTGCATATTGGGTATGTCTGAGAATCGGACATCATTTTTATTTCATCCCCCTAAATGTTAAGGGTAGTTCACCCCTAAATTATTTTTTCTTATACATGGCAAAACGACGTTTGCCGGATCAGCTAGTAATATATAAGATATTAAATTTTAATCACTATCAAATGTTTTGCATTTTTATTCTGGGATATATAATCATATAAAATTCATGTTTGTTATATAATTAAAATATTTTTAATATCATGGTTGATTGACGAAGGAATTAGATTCGTAGCACGTTATGATGTAACTCAGCATTCTTAGTTAAAATATCATTAAACCAATTTAGACTTAGTAACGATCAAAAATGATTAGGCTTTAAGCTCATATATTCGTGTAAAAGCTTGATTTCGTAAGCACTGACCAAATTGCCATCACACGCAATAATAAATATCTGGACAAGTATTTTGCGCAAGATTTCCTTAATATGAAGTCTTGTGTAATTTTTTTTATTACGAGGGATTTAGGGTATCATTAATAAATACACATTTCATTAATATCATCATTAGTTCATAACTACTTAAAATTTTCGTGTTTCGCCTTTTTTGCTTTATGTTCAGATATTTTTATATTTTGATTAAAATGGCAGAGTTCGTTTCCCGATCAAGGTAACTCCCCAAATAATTAAAAATTACATCTTAATTTTCTATTTATTTGAAATCATAGATTTGGGTTTTGAAACGCTCCTGACTTTTTAATCCATCTGTTTGTGTTTATTTTAACATAGAATAGGGGGCTCAGCCGATATTAAGTAATAAGCCCATGGTCACTCACAGTTCCAGGCCTTTAAATAATTGGTACGCTCTTAAAGGAAGTACGAACTAAGAAGAAAGGTTCTCGGAAAGGCAGGATCCTCAACCTGTCTAACCACTGAGTCGCTACAATATCATTCAAATTGTTGGTTATTTCGGTGTTGGCGTAATACTTATGTAATACAATAATATTGTATCATCGCGAAGGTCACGCTGACACTTTGAAATTCACACATTACACAAGTATTTAAAATAGTTGTTTCCTTAAGCGATGTGTTGTAGGCAGCTGTGGGTTGAAGCAAGGCGCTGACCTTACTCATTTCTGCTTTCCTGGTACTTCGGTGCATTTTAATTCATAAAAGCCTTGTTGTCATATTAAAAGTAAACATTTTGTTTATTTTATATATTATGTATATATATCATAAATATGTTTGTTATAGACTATTTTATATAGGTTGTAAGTTAGTTGTTAGTTTGAGGAGTGTTTTCCTAGTGGCTTCAGCGTGCGACTCGTATGACCTGGGGCCGTAGGTTCGATCCCCGGCTGTGCACCAATGGACTTTCTTTCTATGTATGCATTTAACATTTGCTCGAACGGTGAAGGAAAACATCATGAGGAAACCGACATGTATTAGACCAAAAAGTCGACGGCGTCTGTCAGGCACTAGAGGCTGATCATCATCATGATTTAGAAATCAGAGGCCAAGACCTAAAGAGGTTGGAGCGTCACCGATTTATTTATTTATTTATTGTAAGTTCGTTGGTTGTACCTCCCCTCCATCTGAGCATTTTCTATGTGTCATTTAATTACGGCGATGGTAAAGATGTTGTGTTAGGAAAATCGGGCACAGAAGGCTGATCTCGACTTGCCTAAACAGACATAATCTTTAAAGGAGATGCGGAAGTGTGACATTGAATAGAATAGACTTTTTATAATCACCAATTAATCATTTATCTGTAAACCTGCTTCGACCTGATTTATCAAATTCTATTTTGGTAATTAATTAAAAATGTAAACAGAAAACCAGATTCTAAGTTATTATTCCAATAATCTTGTAGTGTTCTTATGTTTTAAATAAGGACATCACCATTTTTTTAACGAAACATTTTATTGTATAAAAAATATATTTACAAAAATGTATATAGAAAATGTGTTGAATAAATAAAGCTTGTATTCTCGGACTGTTATTGACAAACAGAATAATAAATAAGTGGTAAGAAAAACAGTTTTATGATCAGGTCTTCTGACATAGGCCTCCGATACTTTAGCCCATTCTGCCCTATCCTGGCCAGCCTGCTCCATCTCTTCGGGAGAACACTTGACGTCCCCTCTTCCTTTTGCCTAATACATCTACTTTCCATTTTACTTTCTTGAATTTTTGTAGAACGTTATTTACTTTTGTTCTGTATATAGAAGTATATTATTTGAAATCTTGGCTTAGTTTTAATTCCCTTTTTTTAATAATAAAAAAAATATTTATATTGATTTTGATGCCACGCCATTTTTGCGTACAGTTAAATTTCTCAATGGCCGCGTCATTTCATGCGGTTGTCATTGCTCGGCCCACGGAAACGAAAATGGCGGATGACTCAAAATGGACTTACAAGGTAAGATGACCGATTACCTTGTGCAAAGGTCAGTAAGAGCCCTTTCTGTAAATTTGTTTGCTGGGCCCCAATCACCTGCTATGAATTGAGATCCACAGAGCCAAAAGAAAAAGTTATTTTTAAATTATAATATCTCCAATTTTTTTATTAAAATCATATTGGGAGCTCCCCAGTATCAGCTCCTTCCACTTGGCCGTATTCAACGAAGAGCGGTTCGAATCGTCAACGACCAGACACCAGACACACATACACATACACACACACCGACGTTGCGTAAAAATGTGGAGTCTCTCTGCATCGTCTATCACATTACTGTGAAGAGTGTTCTGAGGAGTTGTTCAGACCTGCAGTTGAGTTGCATCATCAGATGTGGAGGCAGAATACGAAATCCCACCCCCTCGACATCCACAACTGAGTGTTTTTTGAGGCAGTTTTTAACGAGCACCACCACTATTTGGAACAAGCTGCCCACTGAAAGTCGATAACGCACTTGCGAGCCTTCTCGCAATGTGAGAGTCCATGGGCAATCAGTGAACGTATTTATATTAAAGAAAAATTCTACATAATACAAGTGAGAATCTAATGACAAATATAAGACTTGTTATTCTATAAAACAAGCCGTGGTCAAGGCAATCCTGTCACTTCTAACGAACTAATTAAATATCATTTACAATAACGAATGGCGAATTCACGGTGATTATGGGTTTTTGAATATATTATCCTTGAATTTGTTTCGCCTATTTTTTACTAATATGACATCTCAATAATGTCTATTCATAAGCTATTTTCATAGTTAAAGTAAACGTAAAATGGTAAGTATACGTTGAATACTAAAAAAATTTACACTTCTCTTTTGCAATACGCCTTAAAGTTTAAGTGCAACTCCATACTACAGTTTGGATTTGTAAAAATAATCGATATCAAAATCTGATCAACGCGTGAAAATATTCACATCTTATGGCATGAAAGATTTAAAAAAAGTTTTTGACTTCTCATGCAAATAATTAATTACAATTAAATAATCAAAGACTGGAAAAGGAGTCATTAAAGTCAATAAAGTTCAGTTTACATTTGAAAAATTAATTAAATAAATATTTATTATTATTCTCTTACATTAAACAAATAAAACCTATTTGTCTTTAAAACATTTTTATCATTACTACTATTTATTTTTAAGGACTCTTGTCAAGAATTATCGGTTAATCTGATAATTAATCATTCTTGGTTGTGCATCTCGAGGCTTCTCCAAAACTATTGCTTTGCGACAAAAAGAGAATATTAATTAGCCCGTCCATAAAACTTAAATTTTTTTAATTATATTATAACACAATTTATATTAATAAAAAAAGTAAAAAAAAAAAAAGGGGGGGGAAAGGGGGGGGACAGAAGAGAAAAAAAATAAGGGGGGGGGGGGGGGGGGGGGGGGGGGGGGGGGGGGGGGGGGGGGGGGGGGGGGGGGGGGGGGGGGGGGGGGGGGGGGGGGGGGGGGGGGGGGTTTTTTTTTTTTTTTTTTTTATATTAAAAAAAAAAGGGGGGGGGGGGGGGGGG